TTAGAGTATATCTAGTATTTATATTTTAATAATATTACGTTTGGCTTGTAAAATTAATATTATGGGTTCGTGCCAAAAACAAAGTAATTGCGTGAATACTTTTAAAAAAATATCTACAATTTTTTTTAATATTATATATAGATATTTGGTAAGATCTTAATAACTGTAGAGTGAGAAAAATTATATAATTGGAATATTAATTATTAAAATATAATCATTTTCCTAGAATAATCGGCCAAAACGATGCAATTAATTAAAAATAAGAACAAAATTTTGTTGTTATAATTAATTATTTTTCGAACCTCTGTTTAAAGAAAAAAGTTTCTTTCATAATATTTTCACAAATTTAATTTAAAATCATTTTCTTTTAAGCTCCAGAAAAATGAGCTAACGATTCTTAGTGGAGATCTCATAGTCAACCCATTTATTTTAACTTAAAATAATTTTCCTTCCATCTCCAGAAGACGATTCTAGAGCCGATAGATCGATTCCTAGAGCCGATATCATAGTCACTTCACTAAATTTAATTTAAAATAATTTTCCTTTTCCTTCAAGCTCCAGAAGAAGATCCTAAGAACGATTCTTAAGGCTAATTTCACAATTGCAATTCAAGTCATAAACTGAAATATGTCATCAACTCTGTTGACTATATTCATATTGAAGTCAGTTTTGAGATTTAAATTAGGACTGTGTAATCAGTCCTCAATAATCTTAGTTAATCCTCTATTTTCCTACAATGCCTTAAGGCAGCCTATAATTAAACTGCTGTGATAGTGTCAATAATCATCACAATTACATCATAAGCGAATTTATGCTTTGCCAAGCCCTCAAAGTTTAATTATTTGATGCTGAATTTGATTATCTTTATTTACAAACTTTATTTATCTGCAGTAATATTTTGAAACAAAAACTTTGGAAGTAGATGATTCTTAGGATCTGAAAACTACTGAACCATTGCATTTAACAGCAAAAATACTAAAGAGTATCATACAGTACAGTATTAAAAAAAACAGCGAATAATGGCTAAATCACTTAACCCCAACTATGGAAATTACCTATAGCACAGAAATATATATGAATAACTTACATCTTTACTTATATATTGAAAAATCTGTGATTTCATTGAAATACCCTGAGGTTAAGTAAGGTAAGAGTTGTGGCCTTATACACCAAAGCGACCTTGAGCTCTAATAATGACCCGTATTAACGTTGTTCCTACGCAGCCCAGAACGACCAACAATAGAACCGCAGAAGCTCTGCAAGTTAAGTTGTTCTGTCATTAATCAATTAGACAACACCTGTTAAAAGCACAACTCCCCCATTTAGGTCAAAGTTAACCAACCTGACAAGTTTATAAACTTGGTCAAACTCCTAACTGTACAGACAAATGTGCCAAAGACATAACAATTTTAAAATAGGCTTCCTGGTGGATTACCCACCGACACACAGCTGAAGTCATGTCACATAATTGTCATTACATTTTTTTCTTTTAACTAAATGTTAGAAGTAGAAAACTAACGGTTAAAAAATCATACTAAGAGATTGGATAGGGAATATCAATGGATTTTGCTGCAGCTGTAAGAAGGATAAGGAAAATGCTTAACATCTGCTTTGTCAATCTCTAGTATAAAATTAATATAGATTACAGATACAAGGATGTTAATTTATAGAGGAGTTTATTACCAAAAAAAAATATGGAGGGACAACAAAAAAATAAAATTTCTTATTAAATTATCTTTAAGTTGAAATAAATAATATTATAAGAAAACTATTATAAAAATATAAAATTTCAACACAGTATATATTTATACTCATATAATAATGAAATAAAAGCAGAAATAATGAGAGAATCGAGATGATATATTAAAAAATATCTTAAATTAATGAGGTATATATTAAAATTAAGTGCTTTTTTTACTGAAAGTAAAAAAAAATTATAAACAACAATTAATTATAGCAATAAGTATTAATAAAAGAAAAATTATAATTATAATAATGATAACAATAATTTTTATATTAATATCACAATGATAATAATCATAACAATATTAGTAAGAAAAGCAGAAAGCAGTATTAATAAAATTGGGTAATCTAGTTAGAGAGGTCCTAGGATAAGGATATGAATAATGAATTATACTCCCACAGAATGCATTTCCTTGATTGTGAGAAGTTCGAATAATAACAATAATAATAATAAAACAGATATCCGCTATATCTCCACCAATATTACTTCGTTGCCTACAAGGACACAGACAAAGAAATAATTGGAGTTCACAAAAAGCTGTGATGTTGTAAATAAAAAATAAATATGAAACAAACGCAGAATTTAAAAACAAAAATTTATTATCAATACTAAAATAATCAATTAATCTTGTATTTTATATACAGTACCATATTTTGTATATACATAGTGCAAGTGCTAAGTAATAATAATAACAATAATGAAAGTGTCAATAAAATAAAACAGTATGTGATTAAGCATGTATATAAAAAACTTTACAAAAAATATATAATATTTATAATGTATATATACCTTTTTTATATTGAAACAGCAACAAAATCAAATAAAGTGCTAGTGAACACTAATAACATACAAAACAGCACTAGAATGGGTAAAAGCGCTAGGTAGCAGCAATAAGGTGAACAATTTTCTTTAAACTATACATATTACTTTATCTTTACATTATATAAAAAAAAAAAAAAATAATTTAATTTAATTATTTAAATATAGTAGAGCGTAGAATATTGCACTATTAAGAGAAATATATTTATTTTATATACAAAAATACATATTAAGTTATTAATTAATATTATATATTGAAATTTATATATTTTATATTCAAAATAAATCTTTACTGGCTTTTAAATTAGAATAATAAAGAAATATTCTTTATCTATTTGTATTATTTCATTTTTAAATAATTTATAAAATATTATTCATATTTGGATTTAGTTAACTAAAATATGGTGTAGAATTATTTACAGTATTGAGAGAGAGATAAATGTTATATATCAAAAATATATAGTATATTTTTTAATTTTTTTAAATTTTATAAATATTTATAATTTATATCAGATAAGAAATATATGTTGTATACATAAAAATATATAATATATATTTTAAACTTATAAATTGTAAAAATTGAATAATTTATGCGAGATGTAAGTTATAAGTTTTATATAAAAAAATAAAAATAATAGTTTTTAAATTTTTTTCAATTATATAAATATACACAAATAATTTATGTGAGATAAATGATATTTTATCTGATATAATAAATTTACAAAATATATATATTCTTAAAATTTTTTTAAATTATAGAAATATATATAATTTATGTGAATTATAAAACACTAGTTTTATGTAAAAAATTTGAAAAAATATTTTTTTAATTTTTATTAACTACTTATATAAATACAACAAAAATTTATTTTATTAGATAAAATATCTCTTATCTCATAAAAAATATATATTATTATATATACATATTTATGTAGTTAATAAAAAATAAAAATATATTTTTTTTAATTTTTTTATATAAAACTTATGTATACTATATACAACTTAATTTATACATTCTTATAATTTTTATAAAGTATAAAAATGTATATAATTTTTGGGACATCAAAGATAACATATGTATTAAAATATAAACTATATTTTTTCATTTCAATAAATTATAGAAATGTATATAATTTAATTAATATATGAGATTATAAATGGGAAAAAATCTATCAATCAAAATTAACTACCATTAACTTTATATTTAAAAATTTTATGTTTTTATTAAAAACTCACCACCATATTGAAGTAGTCCTTGTTTAGAACTGCGATTGCAGCGTTGTTATCCTGAGACAAGATATTAAATCCATGATAGTTACGGTGTTGTGCCGAGGTGTCAGTGGTTTTGGAAGTAGTTCTACTACCCACAACTCCAGTGAAGTTGGAGCAGTTATACCTGCTCAAGTTTCGATTGAGAAATTGATAGATAAATTTTTGCGTTTGATTACGTGCGACAAATACGTTTAAACCACGACGACCGGAAGTACTTAAACACGCCATATTAATTTAAATATATGTTTTTTTGTTTTATTTTAAGTTAGAAAAAGGACAATTTTATATGTATTAATTTAATAAACACTAAACACTTTATTTGCAAAATAATTTATTTAATTGTTTTTGGCAACATTTGTGTTGATGTTTATAAACAATTTCAAATTTTTCTTTTTTATATTTTTATCTTTTCAATAATGCACAAAAAGAGGAAAAAATTTATTTTATATATTTTTTCAAATTTCGCAAGGACACACAAGAGTCACTTTAGTTTACTTAAAGTGTTAGAGCGATTTGTCTTAGCCTTTACACAAACTTGATAAAATTCGTTACCAAACAAAATTACGGACCGAAGAGGCTATTACGTCTGTTTAAGACCAGCAGCTTCAACAAAGTGTCGTCTGACGCGATATTAAAGCTTAATGTCGTGTTGTTATGTTCATAAGCCGTTGTGGTGAGTTTTCACTTCTTTTAAACTTTAAACGCTATGAACTTGGCTTAAGTAATTTGTTTGTATGTGTATCCGGTTTTGGCGCTGCACGTGTGTATATAGCGGAGTATGTATTTGTGGTTTACCTCCTTGTATGTAATTTTCTCTTTTGTTTACTTTTAAAATTCAACTAGCAGCGCCAAAAATTATTTCATTTGCTCCTCTTTGCTCTTTGGCCATGGACTTTTTTTTCAGCACCTGCCGTTTGCATTTTGCAGTCTACATGTTCAGCACATAATTTTTCTTTATAAAATTATTTATCAAATATAATAGCATTTTTATTTGGAATTTTACAAATCAATCACATTATAAACACTTAACACTTATAGTTATTTTAACTATTTGATTATATGTAATATATAACTGTATTAAATAATTCTGTAATCTGCAGTCAACAGTAGTTTTCTTTTTTGACATTTTGACGTAACTCTTCACATGTCTTATTACTTTCATTCGCAAAAAGAATTTAGCAAATACACAAACCAATTTTGCCACGAACATATGTGTGCTGAAAAATATTGTATTCAATATAAAATAAATATTTAATATAATATATAAAATTTAATGAGAATTAAATTAAATATATATTATATTTTATATACATTAATTTATTAATAAATTTCATTCATAACGTATTGGACAAAAAATTTCTGAATATTTACTCGTTCTTTTTTTTTTGTAACCGCATATGTTTTTAACGAATGTCATGTTAAAGCAAAGCAGTGTAAAAGTGCCTTTAGGAAATATTATTTAACTTGAACCTCTTTCTGTAACCAAAATGTCACGTTATTTAGTATTACGTTTTAAAAATATTTTAAATCATTTTGAAAGACTCTTACCTCAATTATTTCATCAAGGTGGACCACCACCAGGTTAGTAGTCTGCATAATTTTATTACAACTCTTTTGACTAAATTCTGTTTACACAACTGCAGCGTTAGCTCTGGCTGGTATGCCTAGCACACACAATGGTGCTACATGGCGCACAGGAAGCGATAGTTCAGAAAAGTTTAGTCTTAAGGATCTTATAGGTGATGGCATTCTATGGGCAGTGCCAAAACATCGTCGTTCAATTGCTAGACGTCTTCAGCGCAAATTTGGTGTACCAGATTTAGTTTGGAAACCATTAAAAATTAAAACGCATTTACGCAATTGCACTGAATGTGGTCATGATTATGAAGCTGGTGTGCTTTGCCGTATGTACTGCCATTAAAAATTCTTATAAACATTATATTAAACAAATTTTATTTCCTTTAGCACATTGCTATGATAAGGTACGTAAAGAGACGCAATTGATGCAAGATAAAATCCAGGAACAATTGGGCTTATCCCCTGTCGAACAGGAAGTGGTGGTTCTGTATGATGGTGAAAAAAGAGAACAGTCTACTGAATACTTGAATGGCAAACGTATAGTTGAAATGGAAAAGCCGCGTCCAATGTGGTTCTCTAAAAATTTAATACAAAAAACCACACAGCAACCTGCTGATACTAAAGAAGTCAAACCTTCTGATTTGGGTTAAAATTTAGAGAGAAAACTCAATAAACCTTTAATTCAATTATTAACAAGCAACTTTTTTAATCTCGAATAATAGATTTGCTATCGTTTGTTTCTTCAAATAACCATTATTAAATTCCATAGCACTCATTATTTTTTTGCCTTCGATTCGTAACTGATGCACTTCTATGTAAGAGTTATTGGCACATCGCACATATAAACATTTTTTACTACGCTGATATATAAACGCACCAGGTTGTGAATGTAGCAACATATCTGCTTCTTTTGTTATAAGCTGCGGTAATTTGATGTCAACCAAAATTATAGTTTTGCCTTGAAACTGTGCGCTTAACTGTTTGAAGCCGTGTAAAGCACGAAATCTCGCGTGTAACTGTTCTGCATTTATATTAGACCACGTCACTTCCGTTAAACTTTGTGTTATCCTAGGAGCTGAAAATAAAACAATAAATGCTAACAGTACCAGAGAGATATGCAATCAAAACTTATTAACTTTGCATTCAAAAAGTTATTAATTGGAATTCAACAAGTTATAGTAAATATCGAAAATCAAAACTACAACTATTTGGTTGTTTTATTTAAAGCTTACCGTAAGTAGCAGCTGCATTATCTTGTTTCGTTGCTATTGATAGCTTATTATGAAAATCACGTAGCACATCAATTAATAAGTTAGCACCATGTTCAGCCAACTCCACGTAGAGTTCAGACATATATACGTTTGGTCTTATATTGATTTCACGTTGCGCCAAAATCTATTAGAAAATATATCATAATAAATTCTAATAAAATAATAAGACTTACATACATCGCCTATATCAAAATGCTTTGGTTCTATCTTCATAATAGATACGCCAGTCTTTTGATCACCATTCATAATAGCATAAATAATGGGCGCAGCACCTCGCCAACGCGGTAGTAGGCTAGCATGCACATTTATCATGCCTCTAAATTTTTTTATTAATATAAAAAAAAATTATTTAATAACTTTATAAAACAATTAACATACATACAAAGGAAATGATTCAATTAATTTTTGTGGAATTAAATGTCCAAACGATACCACCACACCAAGATCATAATTATGGCACAACTCTGCTTCAACCGGCCAACGGTGCAAAGCTATATTTTGTTGGCTTGCAAATAAGCGTACACAATTTGCGGGATTTTTAAAAGATGTCACTGTGCCTAGCTGATTTATTATATCTGTAGAACTAAATTATTTTTAAATATAATTGAAATAAATTGTATAAACAAAAGATCTTACCTATTTTTATGCAATATCTTTAAACTTGGTAGAGAAAAATTGTCAGTACCAAAAAATAGCACGTTTAAACCTTTTTTAACGTCTGTAGCTAAAAATCTTTTAGGATACTGTAAACTATTTGCACAACAAACAAATTTTCTTTTATATTTATATAAATATTTAAAATATTTATTAGATAAAATCATGTTTATGAATATAAAAGTAACGAGAATTGTATCAACAGCAGTTGCTCTTTGACAGTTGACAGCGACAGTCTTTTTAACTTGCTGCATATAATAAAAAAATTTTTATTATTATATATAAACATAAAATGGCTTTAAATTAATTTAAATATATATATAAATATATAGACAAAATTTTTATTATTATATGGAAATCAATTAAATATTAAAATTAATGGAAAATACTCGTTCGTTTTTATTTTACTCGTTACATTTGACAAACGCAAATAACAACCTCAAAAGCAAATGTCAAAAACGCTTTCAGCTGATAGTGAATTGTCAAAATAAAGGAATTTATTTTTATTTTTGATGATACAGGTTTCGAGTGTCTTCTTTCCAATTTTTGTACATAATAAGAAGTACGAGGTGTTTATAGTTTTTATAAAATTAAATTCAGCACTTCGTTATTAAAGTTTAATAAATAAAAATTATATTGAAATGGATACACCCGATACAATGCAGATTGCATTGCGTGTTGCTTTACAGACAATGAAGGAGCGATGTGTTGCCTTGCAAGAGCGTCTTACAATTGTTGAAGAAGAAAATCGTGAACTACGTGAGGAAAATGCACAGCCAAATATAAATCATAATTATGACACAAGTGACGGCACTGCTGAAAATTTGCAATTACGCATGCAAATAGCAGAATTACAACGACAAAAAACACAATTGAGCGAACATATAAATATGGTATCCACTGAAAACCGTAAATTATGGTCACGACTTTCACAAATGGCTAAAGATCAAGGCAAAGTAGTTGGTGCCAAAGAAAATGATAATACAGTTGTTAATGATGATGAACATGATGCAGTAAATAGTCCACGTCGAAATAGTGGTGCCAATCAAAATCTAATACGTTCAAAGACTTTCACACAACATTCACCAAATCCACAACTACGTCAAAAATTGATCTCAAACGAAATTTCAGATGATATAAACGACTTGAGTATGGAGGAAGTTGCTTTAAATGCATATAGTGGCAATAATAGACTACCAAACAAAACAGATTTGGGATTTACTTATTTTAATGTAGATGAAACTACAATTGGTGCAGATGCTACAACTCTTGATGTAAATCAAGAAGCAAAAAAATGTATTGCGGGTTTAGATGAAATGCGTGCTGAAGCTCTTAAACAACAACAGGGACTTTATGCTGCATTAACAGCAATTGAGAGTAGAATTGGTGAGTTTAATTGTTTTTAAAGGATCGCTGTACTGATTGCTATAAAAAATTCATATTTGTATATTTTACTTGTTATCTCTATTAAAATAATTTCTTGTATTCACCCTTTCAGCTTTGCAACCTTGTTCGAAATGCGCACAAAAAGCTAAAAAACCGGAAATGGCTGATAAAAGTCTTGAGACTGACGAAAGTCTTACTGATGTCAAATTTTTTAACAACAATCAAACAGTTCTTGAAGTCAATACAAATTCACAAAGTCACAACAATATAGATACAAATGATAAACCCAGTCAACCTACACAGCATCTCAACATTATAGAAGAAAAAATTAAAGCTGATGAAGCAGATAAAATGTGTCCAATGTGTGGTAAAATCTATTCTAGTGTTGTAACCTTTGACTCTTTTCGAGAACATGTTGAAACACATTTCATTGATGACTCACTTGAAAATGACACCAGTTTTGACCGTTTCCATAATGAACTCATTTCGCATACCGTAGGTGACTTCTGACAAAGCAAAAAAATTTATTTCTCTTCCGAACTGTAAAATGTATATTTTTTTGCCCTTATTTTATGTTTAGAATTAATAAAAAATCATTATGTTATATATATTAATACAATTGTCATATAATGCTTATATAAAAATATTTTTCAATGTATATTTTAGCAACTATTTTTTATTGCGAAACAAATTTGCCAAAAAAATAAGAAAAATTTGCTATTGCATCAGAAAAATGTTTATGTAATATTTTGTACAGAATCCTTTTGTTAGATTCTATCAAATGTATTCATTTATATTCAACAAATTAATATTAATTTTATATGTCTGTATAGGTTTTAAGTTTATGTATTACATTATTTTTATCTGTAATGTAAATATTTTTACAAACTACATTTTTAATAAACATTAGTTACAATATATTATCATTTATTGTGTAAATGTGTTCTGTTATGATAAATTGTTCTTTTTGGTATAAGTATATTCTGTAGTACGTATTGTAATGACGATTTAATAATAGACCGGATTCTTGATGTATTAGAAATATTCTTCATAAAATTAGAGTTAAATTTTTGCGTGGTCTTCAGAGTTGTGAACCGCATTTTTGTGCCTAAGAAAAAGGATAGCTTTAAAAACAAGCGATGACTTTCAACCTACTGTAACCAATAAAGCGCAGGAATGTGATATGATAAAATTCGCTAAACATTAATTCAAAATAAATAAATATTTCTCACTAATAATAAGCTGTGATCAAATAACTTCCAGCAGTATTAATTGAAGCGATAGTAATTTATAACATGAACATTTTTTGCTGAGTATGCTTTTGTTGTTGTAACTCTTGGAAGCATTGTCGCTATTGGCAATGGTAAGCGGCAGTTAATCAGCGTTTCTTGACGCCCTAACGAGTGTGACGTTTGAAGAAAGAAAATGTTGTTGCTATTATTGTGGCCCATCGGAGTGTATGTAGAAAGCAAACACAGAAAGGGATCCCAAGACAAGAAAATAATAAAGGAGTGCGAGGAGATTACGTAAAATAGTATAACTCGCTTATCCTATAACTCAAGAAGATTGTGTTACGGGAATTATGGTAGCAATCGTGGGTGCTGATACAGATATTTTGCTACTTTAATAGATAAAGACATAAACCCATAGGACTTAGATTATTGTGTGTGCTGGAGGTGATGAACGGAAAATAACAGCATGTGGAAGATACAGCAGTTAAAGATGTAGAAGCTTGTGGTTTCAAGTACTTGGGTATGATTATAAAAACCAATAATAGCATTTAAGACTGCAAACAACATTAAATGTTAACAGCCAATAAATGTTGCTAATATAAACCATATATTCCTACGGTTAGTTTCAAAATAAGAATTTGCAAATAATTATAGAACTTATAGAGTTTATAAGTAAAACTTATTAAGTAATAAAGCATAAATCTGTACACTGATACATCAGGAATAGCAAGACATCAGTATGTTCGAACAAATGTCCTATACTCCTATACTCGATCCTGTACTGCTAGTAGTAACATAGGGCCGATAATAGTTGAATAATGTGTTTAAAAATCTTTTAAAATAAAAATTTCAATGATAACTTCAACTAGTACCTTTTATGTTGGGGGTTAACTCCATTTATTTAATATAATATATTTTCAAAACTTAAAAATATTGATCAATTTTATTTTTTTTTATTCTGAATGTATTTGCATACACATTCAAGTAGCACAAAAGAAGTATATTAAAAAATAAAAATAAATTTAATATATAGGTAAATATTAAATTATTAAGAACAGAATAAATATAGCTTTATCTACACAATCAGCTAAATTGAATATATATTTCATAGTCTTTTCAAAGTATATATTATATTTATATTATTTCATAAATATTTTTGTTATTCATGTATATCAAAAATTTCTCTAGAACTACTCTTCGCTGCATTTAATAGCGTTCCTATTAATCTCTAAAAAATTAAAACAATACAATACGACAGTGGAAGATATCTCAGTACACTATGTCTTCTTCTTCTTTGTTTAATGAAACACTAGTTAGTGTTACTAGTTGAAACCATTAAAATCAATATTGCGATTAATATATAAGATTTATTTTTATATCTTATTTACCCATATTATTTATTTATTTATTTTTAAATAAATTACACTCCCATACTCTAATTTATAATAAATCTAATACAATAAACATTAAAAATGATGATGGTTTAGAAAAATGTTCTACTTTTCATTAATGTGTGTCATTTCAAAATACAACACAAAAGCGGCACGAGATTTAAATACTCAAAGCAAAAAAAAATATTTAATTGAATAAAAAAATTAATTATTTAAATGATTGAAAAATACTTTAAATTAAAATATTTCATTTTTATTATTCATTTAATTAACTGCAAATGTACGAAAGATAAAATTTGAATTATTATCGATTCGGAAGCCGATAACAGCGGATCGCATCGATGCCAGTATTACGTGTGGATCAATGCAGTTGCCGCAATATTTGAACTCAGAAATATAAAATATCGCGCTAAAGTCGAAACCGAGTCATTCGGGTGTGATTGGTGTCAGCATTCACTGATGCAGAGCAACTTAAGTGCGATATATATGTGGTCGGTAATATAAAAATTTTAAAAAATCCAATAAAAACTAAAGCAAATTAAATTAATTATTTTAAATTTATATAAAAAAATATTTTAAAAAATGCTATCCGTGAATATGTTAAATAGACTCTTGTTATTTCTGCCTTTGGCGATTCCAAATGGTCGAGGTTGGTTCTTTAATAAATATATAAAATTCGAAAAATTATGAACATGTTTAAAATAATATAAAAATAATACTATATTATATTAGTGAACTGAAATTATTTAATTATAATTTAATATATGAAATGTTGAACAATTAAATACTATAATAGTGTTTTATACAAAAAGCATAAACATTGTTTTTAAACAATTATGGGACTAAATAATATATAAAAATATTTTTTATTAATAATTTTGTTTTGAGTTTATACAAAAGTAATATATATTTTATTGGGTTTCATCTTAAAATTAAATTAAAAGTACAATAAAAATTTTTTTTATAAGTTAATTGTTTATTAATGTTGGTTTTTTTATTTATTTCTGCTTTTAAGAAGCAATACCCCTGCTCTTACAAGCATAGCGTTGCAGACCTTTCGTCAGCAATTTTAATAAGAAAAGAATATGCATTTGAGCCACACTTTATCTGCGATAAAATAATCCAAATAAGCTAAATATTGCTTGCATTGCATATTCTATTTGTCAACTTACGAATTTATTTCGATATTTACATCTCAATTCAGAGAGTTTTTAGGGACAATACAGGGTAGGAAGAAGAATAACTCTGCATATGAATAAAATTCTAAGGTGTACAGCAAATTTAATCAAATATTAAAAAATTGTGAAATTATGTACGTAAAAATAAAAAAAATGTATAAATTGAATAATAAAAATAAAATAATAAAAATCTTGTATGTACTTTAAACATCTAATACCCCGAAACAAAAACGTTGTAGTAGCTTCAAACCAATTTTAATCTCACTTATTTCGCGTGGAGAAATGGTTGTCAAAATGACGAATTAAAATTAATTAACTAAAATGTAGACACGTCGTTTTTACCTTAAATCGGAGTACATCTCCAAAAATTTTTTTAAATATAATTCCCATACCACAAACAAATAATATAACGTACTTAAGTTTTCACCTAGACAGGCGACTAACTAGTCGCAAGCATATTGAAGCATGTTGAAGAATTAGATTCAGCTCCAAGCCTCTAAGTTGTATTGGCTCATTAATAAAAGATCCTCCCTGTGCCTAGAGTATAAAGTACTCTTGTATAACAGCATTATTAAACCAATATGGACCTATGGTATCTAACTATTTCGTCATGTTAGTGCTTCAAATATTTAAATTATCCAAAGAGGTCAGTCAAAAATACTGAAAACAATCACTGGTGCCCTATGGTATATTAGGAATGAAAGTATCCACCGCGATTTACAAATTCCCTTAGTTAAAGCTGAATCTGACAATATAAGAAAAAAATAAAACAAAAAAAAATCTGACAGAATATTTTAACCCCTCAGCAAGGAATCTCGCACTTGTATCCATTACTTCCCGCCTAAAACGAGCTTACCGTCCAGCCATTAATTAATATGCAATAGCTTGAAGTAAAAACGCTCCTTTATTTTAAGTAATCTGATAAAGTTGATAATAAATCAGCTTAATAAACAACCTAACATTCACTCCAATGATATTTAACCCATTGATCTAACTGAGGTTTATGATATATATAAAAAAAAAAAATTTTTCAAATATTATGTAAATTGATTATAAATTTTTAAAATACTCCTTAATTGTTGAGTTATTTTTTATACATAACAAGGATTTATTCCATTTACACTACGTTAGCATTTGTAGAGGTATTTTAGATTTAAGCTGGAAATTTACATTTGGAAGCACTTTACCGAATCATTGCGAACTATTTAGGATCATAGACTAACAACTTATGGACTAGTCGCGAAGATTGTGTGGTCGCTAGAACCTTATGGCCTAATTTTAACAAAAATAAAACGAAAAGACATTTGGGTTTCAGCAAACCTACAGTTCGTATGCTTACTGGAGTACTAACGGGGCACTATGCCATTGCGCCTATGCTCCTTGGGTGGCGAGTTTCAACATGTGGATTATGCAGGAGTTGCTAAGATGAAGAGGATGTAGAATCCATCAACCGCTTTCTGTGTCTCTGTCCAGGACTGCAGTAAAGGTGACTTCAATGTCTTGGGGATTGCTTTTTCATAGGCCTGGAAGAGTTGTAACAAAAGCAAACTTATCGGATCTCCTCAAATTCATCTGAAAAATCAAATGGTTTAACAAGGATAGAAGATAGAAAAGGTTAGCAACTCGCCTCTCTCGGCATAATCTTTAAGGGCATCACAATGGGCAATATATGCCTTCGAGTGGCAATGCTGATAACTGTCAGCACGCGCCTTCTCAAGCTAATCTAACCTTACCGAATTATTATATTGGGTGAACTTTATTTTATCAAGATAATTAAACATAGTTTATAATTAAATTTTTCATTCATTTCATTATAAAAATCTTCTTTCGAAGGAACACTTAACCTTTAGTTCTATAATTCGTCACTAAAAAATGTGTATAAGATATAAAAACTCCAATATATAAATGTAATATGTTTCTTTATTAGGTGTAAACTATTATATTCTTTTATTATTTAAAATAAAACCTATTGTATAACTTACATATAAATGTGCATATTTATATAGTCAAATGTTATATTAAAACAAATGCTATGGTATCTTAACAAAACTATTTTATTCAATTATACTTTTTTTTCTATTTTCACTGTCAGTAGCAAAATTATGCTGAATTTATTTGCTAAATTTATTAAAATATTTAAAGCTGTCTTCGGATTTAAAATGATTAATGATCCATTAAAATTTTTTAGGGTATTTACATGATAATGATAAATAATTATGTCTTCAAAATCGTAACAGAGGAAATGTTTTAAATAATACCAAAACTCGAATATTGTCTTGATATTACAATAATTTGTTACATATGCAAACGCGTTTCGGAAATTGTTTATATTTTTATAAAAAAAAACAAAAAAATTTTATAGCAAAATTTTAAAGCTTAAGTGAAAGTGCAAAATAAAAAGAATTGACCTCCCAGGTAGTATTTTTGTCTTTATTCTTATATATAAAAAGTTTATTTTAAACAATAAAAAAATATTAATAAATTAATATTTAATGTATCTTAAGGAGCTTCATGCTGTTATTAATTTCCTTTGTAAAGTTCGAAATTGAAACATAAAACGTTAGAAATATATAACCGGCTTTATTAGATTTAAATATGGATTAACTAACCATTAAGTGTTGATTGCTTTATAATACATAAGCAATAAATATTTATTTCGTATTTCACAAAAATGCTAATGGCAGTAATAAAACAAACTTAATATGCAACAAATAAAATGGCTTAGGTTAAAAGGCTATATTGATCAATATTTTTCTTATTGAAAAATTTTATAATTGCTATTTCTTAATTTTTTAATTAAAAAATTAAGTTCACAAAAACAAAAATGTGTGGGGGCTACATTTTAATGAAGGATTAGAAAAATAGCCAAGTAGACGTTCTCCGAGACTCACAAGGTGCAAAACAAAAATTAGCTTTTGCAATCATATAAGTAAATTCATTAAATTACATGATCTTTAACAATAAGTAGTCTGATGGTAAAAACCAACCACTAGGAAACGTGTCTTACAGTATTGTGAACAATATCGAGTTCGGTAGATATAGGAAATAACAAAAAGCTTCAAAATCCAATAGCACCACACGATACTGAAGTATAAATGGCGATCAGTGCGTCACCCGATCGGAAATGTAAATCTGGTACTAAGGTTGTCGAGGCCCATAGCTTGGGATGTCCTGAATAATTGAGTCAGGTGTAGTGTGTCAATCGTGTGACACCTTCGCTTAAAACCCAAAGTTACGCTGGTCGAATGACTGTATTCATTACTATCATTTGATGTAAAATTTAATTTTACGGCCGGGTGCTGTGTCCAAAAAACAACAGGAGTATTAATTTTCTCTTACCCAAGGAACGTATAGGTTCAATTGGTAGCGGTGGAAGTCCTTGGAAATCCAACATCGTTGCCTTATGCCTGTGTTAAGAATACTGTATTGACCCTTAAAAAGTATGAACTAGAAAAACTTGCTTTTTTAATGAATTATTATTTATATTATTATTTTATTATATTATATTCTATTATAATATATTTTATTTGTTAAAACATTTAACATATTTTAATTGTTAAATATTATTAAATTATTTATAAATTAATTATTATTAAATACTCTATAATATTAATATGTACGAATTATAATAGACAACGTATACATTTTTTTTATTTTTTTCTAATAATTTTCAAAAAATATTTTAGTTTTAGATAATAGCATTGGTGATACTCGTGCTGATGATTCATGGAGTTATGATAATACTGAAGACTGGGGTATCAATTATCCACAATGTGATGGTATACGACAGTCACCAATTCATTTAATATCGAGTAATGTAAGAAAAACTTAAAGTATTAATTTTTTTATTTTCACCATTATTGCTTTAGATATATATATATATATATAAACTTCAATAGTTTTTTAAATCAATTATTTATAATAAGATAGTCACCAATTAATTTAATATCAAGTAATGCCAGAAAAACTCAAAGTATTAATTTTTATATTATTAAATATATATATAAATAATATTAAATTATAGATTATAATATATAAATATATATTATATATATATATATATATATATATATATATTATATATATTATATATATATATATTTACCATATTTAGTTATTAATGACAAAAAAAAAGTCATAAACTTCGATTGTTTTTTAAATAGGTAAAAGTAACATTGCGCACCAAGTATATTCAATAGGATATGAGTTGGCTAGATGTATTTCTACATGCTCTTAACAGAGTTCTTTCGTTAAATAGCATAAAATCGCAATACACTTTATCTCTATTTTGTTGCAATTATAATAGTATTTAATATATACACATTTATATATCTATTAAGTTATCAATGTTGTAAACTTAGTTAAATAATAATTAATTCTGTATTTTTAATTTTTAAAATACTTTTATAAAGAGGTTTTCGAACAGAAGTGAAACAACAAAAATTTATTTTTTAAATTATTTTAATTAATTGAATTTTTGGCTGACCATACAGCTGTTTCGAGTATTGCCAAATACCCTTCATCAGTGGTCATGGAAATAATTCTTATATTTAATTATTCGTAAATAATTATTTTTGAGACTGCAAGTACCACGAATCGAACTCGGGTCCTGCCAAATATGAAGCTCAGAATCAGCGCACCTTAACCAACTGATCCAATATTTTTATGATTAAATTAAATACACTTAAAAATTGTTTTGAAATTTTAGTGGTTTCGAAAACTATTGAAAACCATAATATTTCTCATAAGTAACTGTTAAAAATTATTGCTATAATTTAATTTGATCAGTTTTACCTAACCTGTTAAATTTGTATTATTTTTAATTGAATAATAAATATTTCCGGAAACAGTTTCAAAAAATCCATTGCTCTATTCTGCCACAGAAATTAAGCGCCATTCTATAAAAGTCTTATGAAAGATTAAATTGTGATTAGTTTTTTTAAATTTCCAAAAAAAAGTTAAAATGATTTTTTTTAATTTTTTAACAAATACTGTTTATATAATTACACCTTATAATCTATTCCATTGTTATAATAATTGGTTTAATATACTATAGACTATATGAAAAAAAAATATAATTATACTATCATAAACAAACTCAATTTGTATCATTTATTAGATTAAAATTTTCACAACATTAATTATATGTCAACTAAACACTTTAAAAATTTGTGTTATTTATTATTATTAAATACAAATAAATAACAATTAATCACAATTTAATTTAATTTTATTTTTTGGGTAAATGAATTTCAATTGAATTTCTAATTTAAAATTAAAAAATTAATTTATATTATTTCATAGTCGGTGATCATGCCATTTCCAACATTGCGCTTCATAAATTACAATGTACCGTTGAGTGGAAAGTTGACTTTGGAAAATAATGGACATACGAGTAAGTGAGCTTATCGAACTAAATGAACCTCTTTTTTTTTAACAATATTTATTATTTTTAGTTAGTATGCCTATACCGAGTACAAGAAATGGAATACGTCCATACATTTCCGGTGGTTCGTTAAAAAGTCGTTATGAAGCCATTGGTGTACATTTTCATTGGGGTTCGCCAAGTATTAAGGGTTCAGAGCACATGATCAATAATCGTCGTTATGACATTGAAATGCATATTGTCCATAGAAATGTTAAGTACAGTACAGATGAAGATGCACGCAAAAATAGCGATGGCTTTGCTGTATTGGGCATTATGTTAACGGCAGTTAGTGTAAGTAATCAAAAAAATTAATTGGTAATTAGCTAATTTGGATTGTAAATAATTTTCAGTTAATTAACTTTTTTTTTTAGATTATAAATTATTGAATGAATATAGAAGTATGTAATAAAATATGAATGAATATAGAAGTTATTTAACATAAAACCGTTCTGTTAATTATATAATGGCTCGCTACACAATATTTTTTAGAATATTTTTTAAACCTGTAATTTATTATTTGTTGTTTATTAAATTTATTATATATTATCATCCAATCATTATTATTTATTTAAAATGTACTTGTATAATTAATTCATCTTAATATAACGAATTTATTTGTTTTATTTTAGAATCCTGTCCGTCAATTTACAGCCTTCACGAAAATTTTTAGGAAATTACCTTCACTCATAGATTATAAGTCAAGATCATTTATAAATGGACAGATAAGTTTAAATCAACTCATGGGAAATTTAAATACAAGAAGCTTTTTCACATATCAAGGTTTGTATAACAAGAGATATAAAAGAAATTTTTTTCAATCAAATTGAAAAGTTATAGAAAACTATAAAATTTATATATACATAAATACTTTTTAATCATATCAAATAAATCATTTCATATTAATCAAATGAAAAAGTTAAAAAAATTTGTATACCATTAATTTTTGTACTCCAATTCAAATAATCCAATAAATGAAACAATTCATTCCAAAAAAATTTATATTTAAATAAAAACAAAAATTAAAAGTTCCTTTGTGAAAGTTACAATATATATATTACTATAATTTTTATTATTATAATGAAGACCCAATCATTGAAAGTTATACTCCTATAGACTTGAGATTTGATGTGATATCATTTTCAGACTTGTCTTAACTTCTTAACTACCACTATTAAGCCATATGCTTCCACTACAAAGGGTAATGAGTCAAATGTACTCAATAACCAATTCCTCAAATTAGAATTCTTTCAAAGAGTTGAACCTTTGCTCCGGACAAAGACAATATATTCTTGTAGTATATTCGATCATGGCAACCCTGTATAAATAAATAGATAAAAAGGAAAAATACAAAATGCGTTGTTGTTTCGTCGTTGTGCTCAAAGGAGTAAGCGTGCCGTGCCGTAATCATTATTATTATTAATAGCAAATTGTAAATCTATATAACTTTAATCAATAAAGTATATTGTATTATATATAAAGAATATAATAATTCTATATACTCAATGTTTTTTCCATGACTTCATTCTAACAGCTTCTACAGAAGATTAACAAACTTATTTTTATTATGAACCAATTATTTACTATTTACTTTCAAAATTATTATATAAATGCTAATGATAAAGTAGGTCATTTTCATCCATATATTCATGTTTGACCTATATACAATAAAAAATCAGTCGCTTGTATAGTTTGTTGTTTATGAAGATAATCACCAAAATTCAAAACAGACACAGACGGACAAATGTAGAAAAATTTTTCGCTCCAATAAACTAAATTAAAATAATATATGATTTATAATGTCTCCAGCATGTCTTTCTCTGAATTAAAAACAACTTGCCAAACCCAGTACAGTCCAATAGAGAAGTAGAGTAGAGAAAAGGATGTACTTAACTTATTATCCATAACACCATAACAGTTGATATAACCTCTCAATGAGTATTTTATATATGATCCTAATAACTTCAATATTAATTAACATTACTTCTAATGAGAATTATTGGTGAAAAGAAAGTATTAATGGAGGAAGTGCAGACTTTATCCACTTTTGCAATCTATTATTTTTCATAATTTAAAGCAAAATATTTTATTATATATTCTTATTTTTTTAAATAACTTAAAACTATTACTAATACTTAAAACCATAACCATTTTTATTTAACTACTCGAATTTATAACAAACGAAATTTTTTTCCACACATAAATTATTAATATATAATACTTAATTTATTAATACTTACAGTTTTTCAAATGCAAGTAATACATACATATGTAATATAAGAATATAATATATATATACACATCTTACTTCTTCCTCTTTAGGTTCTCTTACGACTCCACCATGTTCACAATCTGTAACTTGGTTCGTGTTTCCTGATACAATTTTAGTACCACGAGCTTCGGTAGTAATTTTTATATAAATTTCAATGTATAAATTAAATATATTTTTATATTTGCAATATTTTTATTATTCAGATTGAGCAATTCTATGATATGTTTGACTCGCATGACGGGCCTTTGATTGATAATTATAGACCATTACAGCCAAAGAACCAACGTAATGTTTATTACAGAACTGATTTTATTTTTTGGTTATAAAATAATTTTTAAGTCATCTTATTTTTTAATAATTTATTTTTTTTATACATATTATATATATATAAATATTAAGCTTTAATTAATAAAGTTCTCATATTTATCATGAGAAATTAATAAGCTGTAATAAACTTTATAGTACACATTTGTTTAACTTTATTTTATTTAATTTATTTATTTTTATCATTAAAATGTAAGAAATTGAATGTAAATATGTTCTCAAATAAAATTTTTGATACTTAATAAATGTATAAGCAGATCTACTTGAGATTGTCTTCCTAATTTTTTTATTTTTAGTTCCGATTTGAGAGGACTATATCAGTGACAGTTTCCAAAACATATTGTTTAACAATCGCTGAACATGCCAAAATTGTGAAAATATACTATAAAAATGGTAACGATTATTCATATCGAAACGTCTTAAATACTGAGGTTTATTTTTTGCTTAGTGAATATATCAAAACTATCGCATCTAGGGTAATTAAAATCCACGTGTTATTGTAAAAAAAACCCTTGCATTCACAAAAAATCATTACTTGGTGTAACATTTAGTCTGAAGGTATAATAGGCTATGTTTTTCTAAAAATGACGATGTTGTAACAATCACTATCAACTTATAACTACCACTTTTTCTTGACACGAAATCGAAGATATAGTTATGAAAAATATCTAGCTTTAATAGGACGATAATGACACAGCAGATCCTGTTCTGTTTTTATTCTGTGTGAAGAACACTTCAGACATGTAAGTTCACATTTTATTAATGCAATTTATTAATTTTATTTATTTTATTAATTTTATTTTATTAATTTTATTTCATTAATTTTATTGTATTAATTTTATTTTATTAATGAATGAGCCATCAAGATCAGCACCAAATTGTGTTTGTGTACTTATACAAAAGGATTATGTTTATGCGGATAATCCTTAAACTCTGAACCAAAACGAATACCTTATAAGAATCCAGTGTTGCTCGATATTATTTTGAAGGTGTTTGAATAATGGTGTATTTGACATCTAACAAACACAAGTTATGGTTTTTTCAAGTTTAGTTTTGAAACCGTAAAATGGATAATGCTTTATTAAATTATATGATTTTATAAAATAACATTTAAAACAACATCAAGATAATCAAGATAACATCATGATATTTATCTCAAATATTATTATATGTATTATTATTATTGTTTAGGGATTTGGTGTTGCAACCATCGGGTCTATTATGCCCCCTTCTGAGTTTAAAGTAGGTCTCTAAGTCCTGTTGCGTCAATAAAAAGTAGTATAGAACCTACTTTTGCAGAGTTTTATTGCCTCTTCCGTAGGAATATACATTCCCAGGAGCGTATTCCGTATGTGAATTGGCGCAGGGTATTCTAACAGCACATTTGTGGCCGACTCCTCCTTCACAGAATTTACAGTTTGCATCATCGTATGTACTAACATTTATAAAAACACTTGACTCCATAGATAGCATCTATATATAGCATATACTCCTCAAACATCCAAATATTATTAAAATGCATCCATTATTTATTCATTAAACGTAGTTTTTTTTTTTCTAAATTAAAAGCTGAGAAATTCAAATTTTAATCGTTTACAAATTGAATAAATATTTATTCTTCTAGAAAAAAAGCTTAGATAGCAATTTGGAAGAATTCAATATACTTACAAAATTCTGTTTACAAAGTATTTTCTCTTAAACAAAGATACTTAATTATTCTGTTTTGGTAAATATTTTATTATTGAAGACTATATGCTGAAAGTATTTTCCTCGAACCTGAAACGCTCGGGTTCTAATATAAAACTAATATCTTAACATTATTAAAGCTATAAAAGTACATAACATATTTTTTGTTTAATTGTTAATATTGTAGAAAGTTAATATTTGAACAAACCATATTTTTAATTGAAATCAATAACAATACAACTACAATTTATTCATTTATGAAACAAATATTAGTAACTAAATAAGTTGACTTAAAGATTGTAAAAATATCTATGACATCAAATCGATACCATCTCATTTTTAATGCATTCTGTATTTAGTTTTAGTTTTTTTATGATTCCTGCCATTAAAAATAAATGAACAAATAACAATAATATTCTGTTAATACATAAAACTTTTATTATTAAATTATCGTCATTAAAAAATTGTAGATTGCCGTAGTGCACAAAGCATCTTAGAAATATTTTCATTTAATTAAATCAGGCGCCAGTGCTTCTACTCTGACTCAATCTCTTACCGATATTATGGGATGGGTTTTACTGTTCTCGATCTCGATTTAGACCATCAAAACTCGTGTTGCCCTTCTGTTGTAATATTAACTGCGCAATATCTATTAACTATTACATCTCTTCTTTCGGTGTGATTATGATTATATATATTGCCTATAGACGTCAGCATTGGAAAACCTTTTCGCTCAATATTTTTTCAAATTTGCCTCTGGCAGTATATACTTTTTGTGTCCATATTTAAATTAAAAGTTTTTAGTATGACTTAAGTAGTTTTAGTTTTACGGCAGAAATAACTAAACATAGGTTCGGTTATGTCGGCGACCCTAAGAATTCACCTAGACCTATTGGTCTATTATTTTGCTGTCTAAAAATCCAAAGGTTTAAAAACTACCTTTAAATCTTTAGCAAAGCCAAACTCGTTTTTCAAAGGAAACTCCTGGAACTGACTAACATCTGGAAAATAGTAAACATCTAGCATAGTTAATCAACGTCTCCCATGCAATGGAGAGTAACAATTGTGACAGAAATGATTAAACGGATAATAGTTCCTTAAAAAGCTATGTCCCGTTTCATAAGCTATATGCATGATTTTTTGTTGTATCAATGTTACTAATTATGCCAGCTGTCTGTGATTTATCATTCAGGTTTGGGTGAGCTTGTTTTATATATAGCTATAAGCCATATGTATTTAACATATGTAGATACTATTGTCAAAAACACACGCTTTCTCTTGTACATAACTTCAAGACTATTAGTTTATCATCTAATACATTTAGAAATTATTTTAATGTCAATACATATCTCTGTCTCACCCCAGCTGCTATGTCAAAGTTTTCTAGTTGTCAACCATGGTGTACTTTAAATTTAAGACCGCTCTATTGTGACTTGATAGACTTCGGCTATGCTCCACAATAATGCAAGATAGTTTATATGTTATCGAAGGGCTGACCTAAAGTCGGTTATGCTGGCTATACATTTATTTGTTTTAGCAATTTGTTTTATTTGTTCCTCTTACATTAATTTTTAAGAGGGTTCTTAAGCTGTGGAATTGAAGATTCTGCAAAACCAAATAAAAATAATGTAACCACATAAAAAATGAATATGATAAATTTAATTTTTAAGGAATGCTTTTATTTACAGCAGTAAAAAACATAAAGTAATATAAAAAGGTACTGTAATAATGTTAATATAAAAATAGCATATCCAATTACTGATTTTACACAATTTATTTGAAATAAAATTTTATTGGTAGAACAGATGACTAGAGAATATTGTGTAGTATATAGACATTTATTTTAAATGATTGAATACAATATATATAATTTAACATTAGCTTAACCTGACATTAAAACTGGTAGTTAAATTTTTATATATATTTATTTAATGAATTTTTTTAAATAAAATAAATTTAATATATTACTTGGACTTTTAGACCCTGCGATTAGTTATGAAATACAATATCATTCAAATGTCTTCCATAGGGTATTTTGAAGTACTGAACTCTTCTGATAAAACTTTTGACTTAACAAACGACTATAGATAACAAACGAGATTATAGATATGAATATAATGATATTTATATCTAAGAGCTTGATATTTGTGACCAATTCACATCAACAAAATGTTAAATCAATTGCCTAATGAATTTCTCGCCCAACATAACTATGTCCCAAGTTATATAGAGTGTCACGGGCAAGAAAAAGGTAAGAGAAAAGAAAAAAACCTCTTCAGTCAATCAAAGTCGTGTTGTATAAATATATATATATATATACATATATGTATATATGTCCTTTAAAATTTAGGCACAACTAAAAAGCACAAAAGTAATAGTAAAAATACAAAAAAGCCAATTTTGACGTACTCGTGGCACTCCACATAACATGAGCCTAAAACATGGATGTATTGTATGACTTGTGGTACTGTCCTCTGAATCCACATATCCTCCACATTCATATATTCGATTCTATTTAAATAAAAGAATTGGTAATCACATCACTGAAACAGTGCTTCCAATTCGGCACCTTGAAAGTTAATGTAAGCATGTCGTTAGATTAGAAATCAACGATACGATATAATATACAGATAAAATCACAACCACAATAAAATATAGCATTAAAGTGTACAAATAAAGATTATCATTTTATAATATTGAATATTAAAAGTCCTTGTAGATCGCAGAAATGTTTGTGGGATAATGTGGGAGAATTTTTAGTTGTCAAAAATTTTTCAGCTTATCTATTATAGTGAAGTAATGATAATAATAAGCTGTTCTTATGATGCGATTTAATAAGGTAAATACTAAATTTAATAATCAATTTTATTTATTTAATGTCTATAAATTTTTATCGGCTTTTATGATTAGATTTATTTTTTGTAGTCCATAAATTTTTATAAAAATCGGCTTTAAAGAGTTTGTACCTCATAATAAATTTATTTTTTTGTTGTTATTATTAATTTTTTAGTATAGTTATTAAATTTAATGAAAAAATAATCTTTTTTTAATGTATATTAATTTTTTGACTTTATAAATTGTAGTTTTACACCTTTGGGATATCAGATTCATTTAAAGTTTGAAGATATATATTAAATCACAATTGAGATACTTTTAACAACTATAATATTATTATATTATTTGAGCAATTTGTATTAATTATAGTTTTTAATTCGTTCGTTAAAACAATCAAGTTTTAAAATAATTATAAATTATTTATAATTATTATTAGAATTGAAAGGATTAGTTGAAAGGATTACACAAATTTATTGTTAAATTTTACTTTATCACACTCCGAATTCTTATACTATTTATTATAATTTTAATGCTAAAATTTATATATTTTTATTTAATATACATATAATATTTTATTTATATTTTATTTCTTTAAAAATATAATCATATTAAATTTAAAGTTGATATCCAACCAATCTATCGCGCTTACCGCTAAATTTAAAGTGTTTTCTATATACATTTTTATTACAAATTTTTTGAAATTCTTATATAACTAGTAAGAGAACAAATATTACTCACTATTATACATATAAAAATTGTATATATTTGTATTTTTATATTTAATATATACTTTATAATTTACATATGCACATCATTGATTTTCCACGGTATTTAAAGAAATATGTCACTTGATGTTAAAATAAAAATTATAGACAAGTTGTTAGAGTTTTTAGATTTATACACATTTACAATAATATATAATATATATCGAAAACGTATATATTGGTATACTAAGAGCTAAGTATTAACTTCACAAGATCATTTTCACTACATAATATTATGAATAGCTTTTTATTATAACAATAGAGTATCAGAAGAATTTCTGTATCCGATTTTTAAGGTCTCTTCATTATAAAAAAACATAAGCACTGCCAGAATATCTCAGAAGTAAGTTCCATGTTATGTATCCAAGAATAACTATAGATGAGGGGTTTCTAATTAATTTCTGAGTTAATAATTATATATATACTTGTAAACAATATGTTTATTCAACTGAAAAACAAAGAAAAAGAACCAAAGAAAAAGATATAAAAATTGTGAGCTACATATTTAGTCTGCTTAAAAAATTCCTCTACACTTTCAGGGAAATGACTTATTATAAAATTACTTTATACTTTACATATAAAGTATAAAGTAATTTTATTAATGAAAGTAAATAAAAAGTAGGTAACTTAAATCTCATTTCTACATAAAAAAAATATTCTATAATTTTCAATCAAGTGAATTCTTGGGCTGACTATACAGCTATATCGGATATCGCCAAATATTCATCGTTAGTAGTCCTTGCAAACACCAAACTTGTCCATTCATATTTTTCACACTGCAAGTGTTACAATTCAATCCTATCAAATTTGAACAGTGGTCCCGAGTATTTACTCACAATTTTTAGAGTCACACAATTTTTTAGAGAGTAATTAGAAATAATATCATCAAATAATGGATAGTATCCTAAACAGTTATATGCTCAAATTATATGGTCACTTGATTAAAAACTGAAAAATTTTTTTGGAATCCTATATTTCCTCACTATAAATCTCTTTTCTATTCGAAATTGATTTTTTACCATAAGAAATTAAATTATTGTTTAAAATTTTAGATATCTTATTTATTACTTATTTATTATAAATTTAATATTATATCTTATATATACCTTTTGGTTTCATCCATTGAAGCTTAAAACCTCGATAAACGGTTTCTCGAGTTCAATCTTCAAATTGCCTAATTTCTTTATTTCTTTTTACTAGTCATCTTTTTATTGGTTTCTTCTGAAAATCCACTAACTATCTTAAAAATATTGTTTTAAATTTATGAAAATAACTCACGTCTTCATTTAGTGATTTAGTTTGGCAAATAAATTTTTATTAAATATGACTCATTGCAAAGCTCTATATATTGTTTGCAGATTCCCAATTGCGATATAAGCATGGATAATGAATTAGCTAGAGAAGTAACTCTACATTTTACTTACTTAATATTAAATTATTTATGCTAAGGACTCCGGCAATGTTATTTCTTGTACCAATTTCAACAGCTATTATGTTTCTAATATATATATTGACTCATTGTCTTTGTAATTGATCAGATTAATATAAAGTAGATTTAAACAAGGTTGATTAATATCCCGAACTTCGAAGTTAATTATAATTAGAGTGTGTTTGTCATACATTTCTTATAAACGCTTTAAAAGGTAAGATTGATTAATATTCACATCCATTAGTTCTAAAACTTCTAACAAATATAAGTTAAGTTCTAGATTTCCTTATAACTGAATAATTATTGGATTCTTAAAATTCATATTAAAAAATATATTCGATTCCAAAGACTTGTTTAATATTGAGAACCAAGAATTAGTTTAGAATAGTAAGGATGGTGTTAGAATATATTAAATACTATAATGTATCATATGAATCAGATGGATCAAAATTATAAAGACATAACTAATTACCTGAAAGCGTTAAATAAATATTCTCTACCAATTTATTTTACGAAAGATATTGAAATTTTTCCTTATTCCGTATTTTTAAATAGAGCTTTTGTAGTATTAGTTAAGAGAATGCACTTTTGTATATAATAAAACGTTTCTTTATATATAATATCTTAAAATTTGTATTAGTGAGAAAACTGCTAGTGTAACTTCTATACAATAGAATTTTAAATATAATTTATATAAAATTTAGTTTAGTCTAATTAGATTCTCAAATGAATCAAAATCAGAAATTTAGTTTAGTTTGAGAATTTTTATAATGATTTTATTTGTTTATATTTTGATATTATATCTATCAAATGCAACTGTAGAGAGTCTCACAAATGATCAATTATTGGGTAAAACGATCTTCTAATAAATTATCTACACTTAACAAATTAAACTTAAATAATTTATAGGTTACTTTACATATGACGACACAAGAACTTGGGGCTTAAAAAATCCAGTGTGCAATACTGGAAAAAGACAGTCACCTATAAATTTATCTCGATCAACGGTAAGTAATATTTAATTTATATATAATATTTTAATTACATATCATTTTGATATAGTCGATTCACTATAGGGAACATAATAAAAAAAACAACGCTGAAACTGATTTGGATGATATAACGGAAGAGAAATATGGGAAGAGTATGGAATGAAACTTATTTCATGAATCTTTAATATTATTATGTTATATTTTTATTCTCAGTTGAAAATGCATATGATCCGTCGTACCATGTAAGTACTGAACCTTTGCCGCCACTACTATTTATTAATTATGATGAACCTATTACTGGCGATTTAGAGTTAACCAACTCTGGCAGAACAGGTGCGTGCTTAAAATAATTCTTTTTACCTGATTTATTAATTTGTATATTATTCTTAAGTTGAATTCGATATAAATAAAAATCAGACGTCATCTTACATTACTGGTGGTACACTAAAAAACTTGTATAGAGCAGCAAATATCCATCTTCATTGGGGTTCAGAACATGTAAGAGGTGCTGAACACCTTATTGATAGTGACCAGTATGACTGTGAAATGCATATAGTACATCATAATACAAAGTATGATAACTGTCCTAGAAAAGCACTTCACAATCATTATGATGGACTCGCCGTTCTTGGTATCTTCTTAAAAATTGTTAAGTTCTGAATTTTCTATTTTTATTGCATACTTAATATAAATGATCATATAAAATTTTTGTTTTTAAATCAGGATTTTGCTTTAGAGGAAAATGGCAGTACTATTGGTCTTAATAAAATTTTTGCAGCTGTTTCTAAAGTAAAACATTTCCTTTCAAATGCTCACATTGATGAACCTCTTACTTTACAACAAATTCTTGGAAATATTACAACAAAAAGTTTTTTCATATATAACGGTTCGTTTTTTCTTTTTTCTTTATTATTTATTAAAATTTTTTTAATATTAATATATTATATAGGATCAGTAACAACACCACCTTGTGCGGAAGCGGTTACATGGATAGTGTTTGAAGAACCTATACATATATCATATGAAGACGTAAATTTTACTTTATAAATCTTTTTAAATTTAAATAAACTCTATATATTTTGTAGGTTTCCAAACTTTGGGATATAGAAAACAAGGATGGATATTTACAAAATAATTTTAGACCAGCACAGCCATTAAATGGCCGTACTGTCTATTACAAGGAAAGTTAAACTGTTAAAATGTAAAATGTTTGCCGCTTATAATATGAATAAATTCTTAATAATATCTTGAAGAGTTTAAACAGATATCAAATGATTTAAAGTTATTTATTCCTTTTCACATAGTTTAGAACTACTTAAGTGTAATAATTAAAAGTTTGATAAGCTCTCACATGGTTTATCCAGTGTTATTCGCAAGGTATAGGAAAACAAAACCATAGAACTACTATAGCAGAAAAGATGACAGAATGATAAAGAGCAACACTGCTGTATTAAAAAGAAAAAGTTTGGATACTATACTAGATAGTAGATAGCAAATACTAGATAGTGGTGTATTTGTTCTAGAGTGATGGAGACGTGGGTTGAGGCAACAAACTGTAAGGGATCCAGTTCTCTATATGGATTTGGCACTTTAATATTCGTCACTTAACTAACAGACATATAACTAATATAAAATCTATTTTTGTTTTGAGAATCAAAAATTTTTTTGCGTTAACAAATTATTATAATTTAATCGCAGAAAGATGTAGTTCATTCAGAGGCAGATATCTTCCTTTAATGGAACTTGTAGGTTTTTTAAGAAAAAACTTAAGACTATAAAACATATGCTGGACCCTTGCTCGGCATTGATCCTTAGACGAAAAAAAAAAATAAATAGGACATCTTATATTGAATAAAAAAATAAGACTCTATAAAGTATGTTCAATACTATAATTTATCAAGAAATTTGAAGCCAGAGAAATTCCCTGAACACATAAAATGGGCACAATAGATCTCTAAGTTGCAAAGCAAATTAATCCTGTTTTTCTTCATATTGCATCATCTTTGTAGTGATATCTTCGAGGTTTATTTCACCGTCTATTGTTTCTAGTAATGTTCTTTCGCTGTTTCTTCTGTTGCATTTGAAGATGGTGTGTTCAGCGTTTTCTTCGTCTGCATCTCCGTATATGCATTTCGGGTCATTGGCTTTGTCAATGCGGAAAATATCCATGACCAGAAAGGAATTGAGTTTTGTAATTGCTTACTTCGCCAGTTTTCCTGTCTGACCATTTCCATCCCTCTTTTGCTTCTGCATTCCATCTTTATTACCACAGTTGTTGGATTAGTGGTTTTATTTCTAGATCATTTAACATTGTGTTTTGGTAATTCTTGATTTACTACCTTATTTCTTTTTCTTTGACTGCTAGATTAATATAATAATAATAGTGTAAAAAGTAATATTATTAATAGTGATATTAAATAATATTATACCTAACATTTAAAGATATTGATATTCTGTTAACAGTGACAACGTAATTACTTATTTAGAAATAAATATTTATATATTTCGTATCTTACACAATAATAGAGCTTTACATTATTGCATAGCTTTATTTGTGAGTCAAATAAATAACCACCTCTTATTATAATCGACAAGATACGTGGGACATACAAATTCCAAATTTGGTCGCGTTAACATATAAAATATTAAATCCTCTTTTGAATCCTATAGAGTATTAAGGAATAATAGGAGGTGATTAAATTATGCTTATCAAAACTTGGATCAACTTAAAAAAAAGACAAAAGAAAGTTATATTGTTACTGATGTACTTCATCCAGTGTATATGGTTCATTATTAGCATTATACTATTATTTTATATTATATTTATATTATATATATTATATATTAATATTAGTATGAGTATTAAGGAATAATAGATGGTGATTAAATTGTGCTTATCAATAAGTGGATCAATTTAAAAAAAAGACAAAAGAAAGTTCTATTGTTACTGATGTACTTGGTCCAGTGTATATGGTTCATTATTAGCATTATACTATTATTTTATATTATATTTATATTATATATATTATATATTAATATTAGTATGAGTATTAAGGAATAATAGATGGTGATTAAATTGTGCTTATCAATAAGTGGATCAATTTAAAAAAAAGACAAAAGAAAGTTCTATTGTTACTGATGTACTTGGTCCAGTGTATATGGTTCATTATTAGCATTATACTATTATTTTATATTATATTTATATTATATATATTATATATTAATATTAGTATGAGTATTAAGGAATAATAGATGGTGATTAAATTGTGCTTATCAATAAGTGGATCAATTTAAAAAATGGACAAGGAAAGTTCTATTGTTGCTGATGTACTTGGTCCAGTGTGTATGGTTCATTGTTAGTATTATATTATTATTTTATATTATATTTATATTATACATATTATATATTACTATTAGTACTAGTATTAAGGAATAATAGATGATGATTAAATTGTGCTTATCAATAAATGGATCAATTTAAAAAATGGACAAGGAAAGTTCTATTGTTACTGATATACTTAGTCCAGTGTATATGGTTCATTATTAGCATTATATTATTATTTTATATTATATTTATATTATATATATTATATATTAATATTAGTATTAGTATTAAGGAATAATAGATGGTGATTAAATTGTGCTTATCAATAAGTGGATCAATTTAAAAACAGGACAAGGAAAGTTCTATTGTTGCTGATGTACTTGGTCCAGTGTATATGGTTCATGCGGACTCTGTCACAAAAACTATTTTTGAGTATACTAGCTCTAGCGGAATGCTCAGCACAATGCTTGTCATTATATAACTAACTTACATTATATAACATTATATAATGCTAAGTCTGATTTTGGTTTAAGAAAGCAATTTGCTGACTGGAAAAAATAAATATATGCTTATTGTACTTTCTGGCTTGACAATATATTTTTTCAAAAAAAAATTTTTTTTTTTTTACATATCAGTTTATGTAAATTACAACGACCCACTTATTTCGTTGGTAGTAAAGTTATTGACCTGATTTATGCGATTAACTTACAACTTTTATTAATTTTATTACTTCTTGTTTTAACAATGACAAATTAAAACTAATTAATACGAGATTTCAAAATAAAAGAATAAAATCATTCATAAAACCATTTCATTCAGTTTCAAGTACCTGCGCATGTGATGCGCACCGAGTGTGCCTTTAAAGTTCGCTTGCGTTGCAGTGCAACGTGAAGGGAACACAACGTGGACAGCTTAACGCTCATACCAAACGTACCGCTTACAACGCATCGCGTATTTCATAGCTTAAAATTTAATTACTCAACATTTATTTATGGCAATTTTGTTGGTTAATTATTATTTTGACCATTAAAAATTCATAATTATGAGTAAAAACTGTATGCCACATGCACGCAACTCAACTATTTTGAACTATTTGGAGAATTGGAGAAGAAGAGCAGTATCGCAGATAAATTTTAGGAGGTCTTATTTACATTCTCGAGTTTAAAGCTATGTGTCATGACCGTGTGTCATGCAGAAGTACTTCACATTACTAACCTAGTCCCTTCCAAGTCATTTGAAAGGTAATTGAAATTTTTGACATTTTCGCTGATTTATGTGATTTAGTCAATTCTCTTAAGATTTTATGTGATCTTTAGTTCCAGGTTCAGCTATTTCCTTGCAAGAAATCTAATTTTATTACTTATTGCGCTACCTGAACAAATCATCTCAAAGCGTTTTATTGTTATACAAATACGAGCAGCAAATGCCCCACGTGCAGCATGGCACTTCAACTCCAATTCTGTGTCCATATCTTATATTGCATATAAAAAATAAAGTCTGAAAAAATTTTGGCTCAGTCGGTTTTCAAATGTTTGCCAAAAATGAACGCGGCTTAAGACGCGCTGCAAAAATTGCTGAAAAAGATAAGCTTGGATTTTAAACTTCGTGCGTTATTTGTGTTGAAGTGAAGATAAAATATAATAGTGTTTATTGTTTTGATTATATTAAAATATTATTATTATTATTGATCTAATATTAATTGTGAAATGGGTTTTCCAACATTTGGTAATCTTTATCAGCATTTATTGTTAGTGTTGCCTTTCACCTCAGTGCCTGGTACGTATAAGCTACTAATTATGCATTACAAATCCATTTAATATGTCTACAATTAGTGTATAATTAAAATACCAATAATTAAACGAAATTACAGAATTGTGAACTTTTAACAGAATCAAGGGCATATGGGTGTTTCCTTTCTTTTAAAACTGTATTTTATATTTGTACGCAGATACACTTACAGGTAGATATATAAATATATATAGATATATAAATATATATATATATATTTGTACGCAGATACACTTACAGGTAGATATATACTTTAAGGGTGATTTTGTAAGTAAAAAATCGAATGATTATTGAGTTAATATTCGGTATTTACAGCGGGTGTAGCTTACAGATTAAAACTAGAATGATTATAGATCTTATGTACTAGATGTGCACATACTACAAAGACTTAATATGTTTTATTTAAAAAATAAAGAAGAATTATAGTAGTTGTTTAAGTAATTTGTGAAAAAACGTTTATTTTGCATTTCTATTTGAGTAGATATAGCTCAACGGTTCATTTTCAGAAGCTACAGCCCCCTTTTTTTATTTGTTTAAAAATTATTATAATAATAAAATAATTTCAAGCTATTCGTTACGACAACTAAAGGTCTTAAGCTCTATTCTGGTATTTATGTTGTGTTGTAATTGTAAAAATATATTTTTGGAATAATTTACATTAAATTAAATATATTCTATAAACTTAGATGGAAATAAATAAAATTTCAAGCAATTAATTGTATTAATATAATTAATATTAATATATATTGATATATTACATTGTATTATATTAATATAATAACTTTCAATATTAATTATTAATAATATAAATACTATTTTTAATATAAATATAAAAATTTTATATTAAAATATTAAAAAATAGAAATGTTTCTTGCTTGAAATTTTCTTTATTTCTGTCTATATTTAAAACATATATTTAAATCATTAATATATTTAATTATTCCAAAAATATTTTTTTTCCAATTATAACACAACATAAATACCACAATAGAGCTCAATATAAATATTAATATCAATAATTATTAATATAATACTAATTAATATTAATACTTAATATTAAAATATTAAAAAAGAGAA